AAGTAGAACAAAGCAAGTAAGACTAGACTTAGCAGATTGGGAGCTGGGAGAGGGGAATGGCAGGGCCTGAACTGGGCAGCACACACACATTATTGTCCTCATCATCCCTGTGTGTGAGCCCCCGCACAGTTGCTTACATTTAGTGGCTGCTCCGGGAATATGTTTTTGAAGTGAACTGAACTGAAGACAGGAGAATTTAGAGGGTCAACAGGGCAAGGGAATGGGATGAAAAGGGGTGGGGTGGGGGAAGGACTGGAGGAGGCCGTCGTTCTGAGGGTGTGAGCTGGTGGGCAGGATTAAAGGTCCCCGGACCCACCAGCCTCCTTGTGTGCACAACCCAGAGGCCTGAGCAAACAGTCTGCCCAATGGTCACAAGCAAGGACTCATGTGGGCAGTCAGTCATGGGCAAAGAGCTTCTCAACCCCAAGGATTGGAGTTTCCCTAATTCAAATAGAAAAGGAGAAAAGGTCAACATTTGCCTCTCCTGCTGTGGTCATTAGGGGCAGGATGAAGGGAAAGTGCACAATTTGTTCGAGGTGAAGTTTTCCCCGTATTTCTAAGATTTCCAGTTGACTAAGGAACAGATCCTTATTGGAAAGCTACTTCCATTGCTCTTGAGGGGCCTTGGGGTTAAATAAACTCTTCACCGCCGTGTGCTTTGATTGGTTTTGAGCAGGATATTTTGAAACACTAAAGTGTGGGTTGGAATGTGAACTTGAGTTCAGTACTTGGTGTCTGACTCTGCCGAGTGTGCCCTTGTCTGGGTGCTGGCCCAGATCACAGGTTCTCCCTCACCAGTGAGGGGAAAACAGAGCTCCTCTATACACTCTCTGGTCCCACATTGTTTAAGGATGGAACGTTCTGGTTACTTAAATAAGAGTCAGAGTCCAGGGCGCCTGGGTGGCTCAGTTGGTTAAGCAACTGCCTTCGGCTCAGGTCATGATCCTGGAGTCCCGGGATCGAGTCCCACATCGGGCTCCCTGCTCAGCAGGGAGTCTGCTTCTCCCTCTGACCCTCTTCCCTCTCGTGCTCTCTTATCTCTCATTCCCTCTCTTTCAAATAAATAAATAAAATCTTCAAAAAAAAAAAAGAGTCACAGTCCACTTACTTCACAGTCCTACTTGGTGCACCCTCCACCGTCTAGGATATGGCCACACACCTGAAAGGAAGCAGACAGGGCTTCCAGAGGTGGGCCTGGGGTCACAGAGCTCTGGCATCGTACTCAAGCATTTGTGTAACAAACACACACGGTAAATGGCTACTGCATGCCAGGCCCTGGGCTGATGAAAAGACAGGGCTTCCAGCCCACAGGACCTGTGTGGTGGGAGAGCATAGCAGGTGTTCCCTAAAGGCCTGTTACCGAGAATGAGTACCCTTCTTTTACAAACAAATAAAACTAAACCGGCTTTAGTTTTATTTGTTTTCCAGCCCACAGCCAATTAGCGGTCATAAATGGAGAATTTGTCAGGGGGGTTGGCAACTATAGGCACAGGAATGACAGTAGCCAGGAATGGAAGAGGGAGACAAAGAACCATACAAAGGAGATGTTGGAATTAGAATTCTAGTCTGCACAGGCCAGTTGGTGTGAGGCCAAGAGCTCAGTGAGTCTCCATGACCCCGGAGGACATCATTCCCTGATACATTCCAGTAATTGATGTTCCCGGTAGTAACTAAATCATTCCAAAGAAATGGATGGTTATTGTACTTAAGACAGGAGCGGGTATAGTGTCTTTTTTTTTTTTGGTCTGTTCTTTATTTTACTTCCGTGTTTTATTTTTTATTTCCACCTTAACCATCCTAATGGTTAAACTGTGTATCTGCTCAGGAACAAGCCACAGTTACTGGGAAATTTACTTACGTGGAAGGGTCTGTTCCTCAGCAAAACCACACATACGCAACATTACTCTAGTCAAGTCGTTGCCATGTGTACGATCAAGAATGAGTAATTGACGAGCGAATACAGTCAACTGGTCTGAATATACTATGAGTGTAATGTAATCACTGGAAATACCTACAAGGGAGCATTGTTCTGAAATTTATTTTCAGTGATCATCCATTTCAGAAAACCACACCTTTTATGCTAATTGAAGAGCAGCTTTGACAGAGTACACAGCTTTCAGCGAGATGACCCTCGGGCTGCAGATGACAGGAGGTTTTGCTGCCACAGACATGGGTGGGGTGGGGTGAGTTGTAACCACCCATTTCTGTCACACTGAGCTGTTCTGCAGGGAAAGCTGGAGCCAAGACAGATCTCAGTTATCTGGTGGGTAACAACCACCTCGAACCATGGGTCAGCAAACTTCTGTATAAAGGTAGAGCGTAGGGGCGCCTGGCTGGCTCAGTCAGTGGAGCCTGCGACTCTTGATCTCGGGGTCATGAGTTCGAGCCCCACGTTGGGTGTAGAGATTACTTAAATATTTTAGAGATTACTAAAATCTTAAAAAAAAAAAAGCTAGAGAGTAAATAGTTTAGGCTTTAGGCTCGCAGGTCTTACGGTCTCATCACAACTGCTCAGCTGTGCCATTGTTACGCAAAAGCAGACAGAGACAATATGTTTTCGAATGGCATGGCTGTGGTCCAATAAGACTTTATGGGTTTAGAGCCTGGGTACCTACAGACCTGTACAGCAGCAGGAAAAACCAAGAGAATGCTTGCCTGTGGGAGTTGTCAAAGTGGTGAGCTTTGATCAGCTTTGGACTCGTGGGATTTCATGGGATTTCAGTTTTTCGTTTGTTGGCTTTTGGTTGAACGGAGCTTAGAATTTTAGAATCTGCTGGGCCCGGGTCCAGTATGCAAGCTCCTGCTGTCCTTCCATTTGGTGCCTCAGAAGGGTGTCCTCATCGTTCATGCCTCTAGGTTGTCGCTGGCAGCACCAATTGCCATTGTCTTCGTGGAGAGCACAAGGTTGCTTTATTCGAAGATTCTGATTGACGGCCTGTGGGGAACCACTGCTTTTACTCTACTTGGGATGGTTATTCCATACGTCACGACTTCCTGTCCCTCAGCTCCCAGCACAGTGTACCCAGCGTGTGATAGTCACCCTATTTGTTGAGTCAGTGTTTCTTTGGATAAGTACGTGGTACGCATCGAACTGCCTTTCGGCCACTAATTCTCTGCCATCCTGGGGAGGGGAGGCCCTGGCCTTATTCTTTCGTTATTAGCCTCTGCAACTTTTGACTCGAGAATGTCTGTCAATTTGAGTAGCAGTGACTGCCGGCTCAGCTTTCTGGACATGTCCTTCCTCGTCATGACTACAGCATATTCAGTCCAGAGGCTCTTTGTTGGGGAGGAGGGCTGGGGAGGAAGAAGGCCAAAGGGTGAGGAAAGCCCAGCACAACCATTGAAGGTTTGCCCATGCCCTGTAGAGCCCCAGCCTCCAGAAAAACACGCAGAGCCAGCATGCTTGTGAATGGTTGCCTGCGCTGCGAAGTGCCTGGAGTTCTCAGAAGCCCGAAGATGTCACTCACAGTGCTGTAGACAGCTCCAGGGGTCACTCTGTGGCGCCTCTATCTGGGGCTAGCCTGTGCCGGCGCAGTTGCTGACTGAGAAACCGGCCTGGTGAGCAACAGGCCGCCACGTGTAAGATAAGGAATCAGAGGAAGGAAATGTGTACTTGCTGCGTCTTTCAGCGCATGCTGTGGACAGATCGACTTTATTATCGATCCTGAGTTATTTCATTGCTGTCTCCAGAGACGCGGGCTGCAGCTGCTAGGAAGAAGGGGTGTGTTGCTCAGCACTTGTTTCGGAAGGAATGGATGTCTTTCCTAGAGAGAATATGCCACGTGTGTGGGGTCCGTGGTATGTGGGCTTGTTATGGCCTACAGCGTTCATCAGGAGCACCTCCAGCTCCCTGGAGCCTCACACCAGCCCTGGGAGGGGGTGCTGGGGCGGGAAGGGGGTTATCTCCGCAGGTGAGGACACAAAGGCTCACGGAGAGCCTCACAGCCCGGGAGTACGGAAACATCTTTGGACTCTTGTCCAACATTCTCCACTTGACCCCATCACCTACGAGGAGGGCAGAACTCAGGGAGTCTTTGATTCCCGGGAAATCAACTGTTTGGGCCACAGGACTGAAAAACCTGGTTGGTTTCAAGAACCTTCCCTATCCGGGGTTTTTAAAAGTCCTATGGCTCAAACGGGAGAATGTTGGACAATGAGTCCAAAGATGTCCTAGGTCACCAGGTCCTTTCCTCCTACTCATCCCTGTTAACCCCAGACAGCCTCAACACCAGCCTCTGGGTTTGTCCTTGGCATAGAGGCAGCAGCGTCCATGCTAAAGAGAGTTTTCCCAGAGGGCTTGGTGCTCGGTGTCCCGTCTTGTCTTTTAAGTCACAACTAGAACATATCTGTTGACACCATCCTCCCAGTAGATCGATCCCTAGTAAACAGAGAGACCTGAGTTCTAGCCCCACTTCTGAGCTGGTGTCCTGTTTGTGCAGCTGCAGCTCCAGCCGACCTTGGGTGAGGCATTTGCCCTTGGAAGGCTCCCTTTGCATATCTGTCATGTGAAGGCTTTGGGCAAGGTGGCCCTATTTCACAAAAGCTAAGTTAACTCTCGGAAGGAAGTGAGGAAGAGAACTTACTTTTCTTTTTTCTTTAAGTAAACTCTACCCCCAGCGTGGGGCTCAAACTCATGACCCCTAGATCAAGAATCACATGCTCTACCAACTGACCCAGCCAGGTGTCCCAAGCACTCACATTTTATTTTTTTTTAATTTTTTTTTTAAGATTTTTTTATTTCTTTATTTGAGAGAGGGAGAGCAAGCTCGAGTTGGGGGGAAGCGGCGGGGGGAGGAAGAAGCAGACTCCCTGCAGAGCAGGGAGCCCGACGTGGGGCTCGACCCCAGGACCCTGGGATTGTGACCTGAGCCGAAGGTAGATGCTTAAGCGACTGAGCCACCCAGACATCCCTCATGGCTCACTTCAGAAAGGTAATTTTGTCAAATATCCTTGATAACAAGACACCACCCATTTTCTGGGTCCTTTCTTGTCTCTTCCAGATGCCAGTATGGACAGAATAGCTTATGATGCTTATCCCCACCCACCGCTTCCGAGACATTGAGCGGAAGCCAGAATACCTCCAGCCAGAGAAGTGTGTCCCACCTCCCCACCACGGTCCTGTGGGAACCATGTGGTTTATCCGCGACGGCTGTGGCATTGCCTGTGCCATTGTCACCTGGCTCCTGGTCCTCTATGCGGAATTCGTGGTCCTCTTGGTCATGCTCATTCCATCCCGAGACTACGTGTACAGCGTCATCAACGGAATCGTGTTCAACCTGCTCGCCTTCTTGGCCCTGGCGTCCCATTGCCGGGCCATGCTGACGGACCCCGTGAGTATGTCTGGGCCTGTTTTAACCAGCCCACACTCTCCTCCTCTGGCCCTGGCATGGCCACAGCCCGCATGTTCCCCTGGACCTTGGGAGTGTGGAGAACAGGAGGGCCAGGGCTGGGGTGGGGAAGTGAACTCAGGGCCCCCCGAGGGGACACCACCTGTGCCACAGCCTTTCTGTCTTGGTTGGATGTACCTGTATGTACACTGGTGTACACGTCAATTTAGCCTACTGCGGGAGGGGTTTGGCCTAGCAGAAACCTAGCCTCTCGTGCGTTGGAAAGGCACGGTCCAATAACCCTGGAGACCGGGGACAGGTCACAGAGTGGAAAGCATGCTGAGGGCTTGGGTCAGGGTGGGGCTTCCCAGTGAAGACAGGACTGCAGCGAGGCACTCGAAATTAAAGCCGTATCCAGTTCCAGGAACCTGCATGGAAATGGCCTTCACTTTGGGCGAGGCTCATCTTTTCCTGAAAAGCTGGACAAGCCTGTTTCAGGCGGCAGCAAGTGCCTCTTGGTGAATATTTGTGGGTAAAGCGGTGGTGTTCTGCCTGATGACTTAGCTAAATATACCAAGCTGTGCAGGTGGCTACTGAATGCCGTGTACCCTGGTGTTAAACCCTCTGTTCCTGTTCATCATCTCGTATGGGAAAGGCGAGAGTGTGTGATTTGATAAAGACCTCCTGTGGCTTAATAGTTGGAGTGCGTAGGACGAGTATGTTGAAATTAAGAGAAGGAAAGCACTACTACTGGCCGTGGCATTGGCCACCCAGACTCTGTTTCTGTGAGCCCCAGGGAGAGCAAAATAGAGACCCTGGGTCTTGGGCTCATTCCCTCGAAGGGCTCCATTTCCTGCCGGTTCAGGCGGTGGCTTGTTAACCCATCCCGAGGGAGAGCAGCTTTCCCAGCTCGATTACACGTCGACAGCCGGTCCAGATAGCACCTCTTCTCCCCCGCGTGCTGGCACCATTTATGGGGTCACCAGTCAGCCGGCCCCTGAAGGGCCTGGCGTACAGGTTTCCCCCACTATCTGAAAAGGAGAACGTTCCTGTGAAACCTTTCATAAGCCAAACGGCATCAAGCAACGAAGCAATTCGCATGTTGTAAAAGCGAACATCCTCTTCGGATGTCTTTGCGTTGGCCGAAAGGTGCTAAAGTGGGTCTTTCGTAAAGGCCAAGTGATGTAACGCCAACGTTGAGAAGAAGGGGGAAGACTTGTACGTGGTTCCAACCGGAGTGCCCTCTGTCTAGAGAAGACAGGTGAGGCCGGCCCCGTGCGACAAAGGCTGTGGGCAGAGGAAAGCCCGGGTCGCTGTGGAAAAACAAGGGAGGGGGCGTGAACCAGCCTAGCCGACGAGGACGGCTGCTGGGTGGCGCACTGGCCAATTGTTGAGAGAGCAGCGTCTGTTGGCGGGGGAAGTGGCGGGGTGGGAAGACCCTGACGGCGGGCCAGGCCAGGAGAGCAGCAGGCACGCAGGCGGGTGGCCCCTCGAGGCTCCCGGGAGCTGCGTGGGATGGTGGGACCTGAGGAGGAGGGGAGGCTTGGGGGGCAGTTGGATGACGAGGGGTGGTCCAGAGCCCCTGAGGATTTTGAGTGAGAGTGGCGGGACCCAGTTGTCATTTTACAGGGATCATGCTGGCAGCCCGGGGAAGAGCCCTGGGGGCCCTGATGAGGGACAAAGTGAATGCCATGCCCATTGAGTGCCTCCTACGTGAGAGGGCCTTTCTGAGCAATGGCGGCAGCCGTGAGCAAGACAGACCAGCATCCCTGCCTCCCTGGAGCTCGTCCTAGCGCAGGGGGTCAGGCAGTGAAGACGTGCGCGAACGAACAAGGTGATTTCAAACAGTGATAAGTATTTTAAAGATAATCGAAGAGTGTGATCGGGGTGATGTGGTGGTGATTTTTCTGGGGCACAGGGGGCCTGCTTTAGCTCTAGGGGATCTGAGAAGGGCTGTGAGCGGTGCCATTCAGAGCTGAGACCTAATGACATGGAGCTGTGAGTCAGGCAGGTGAGGCCCCTGAGGGCAGAGGCTTCCAGGCAGAGGAGAGTAGGTGCAGAGGCGCAGAGGTGGGCATGCTCTTGGCGCATCTGGGGAGCAGGACTAAGACCAGGGTGACCTCTGCGTGGTGAGTGGGAGCAAGAGGAGCTGGAAGACGCAGGTAGGACTGCAGAAGCCAGATCGGGCAGGGCCTCGAGGGCCTCATGAGAGCTTTGCTCTTTACTCTCAATGTAGTGGGAAGCCAACGGAAAGGCATGACATGACCTGATTTTTTAAAAAAAAAACAGTGTCTTGTGCTTGTAATGGGGGTTGGAGGTGGAGCAGAGACCCAGGAGGATTAGAGGGATGGCAGTGGTCTGCAGACGACATGGTTGGAGGCTCAGACCAAAGTGGGAGCAGTGAAGCTGGGCAGAAGTTGTTGGATTTGGAGTGTATTTTAAGCCACTAATTCTCAAACCTGGCTGCATGTTAGAATCCCTTAGGGAGCTTTGAAGAAGTATGGACGCCTGGGCCCCACCCCCAGAGATTCTGCTCTGATTGGTTCGGGGTAGGGCCCTGGGTATCGGAGTGCTTTAAAGCTCCCAGGCGTCCTCTGTGTTCAGCCAGGTCTGAGAACCACTATTCAGAAGGGCCGACAGAATGGAGAGGGACTAGAGAGTGTGTCTTCCAGCGTCTTGGCTCAAGCAGCTAGGGGACTGCTAGTGCTGTTTATTAAATGGGAGAGTCGAGAACAGATTTTGGAGAGAAATCAAGGCTTCTGTTTTGGCCAGCTGTGTCTATATTACACGTGAGCAGAGAGCCAGGTTTAGGGCTGGTGCAGGGTCAGGATCAGACAACTTCGTGCGAGGTCACTGGTGTCTAGAAGGCACGTGAGTCAGGGAACTGGACGTTGGGAGGTGGGCGGCGGGAAGGCTTCTGGCCTGGCATCCCAGCTGCCCTCACACGCATGCGTCCTTTTACCCCGCGCTGACCTGCATGGCCTCTCCGGGGGGTCTCCTCAGTCTAGCCCCTTGCACTTGGATGCAGGAGTGAACAATTCTCACCGCTGCCAATCCCCAGTGAGTGAGAACCATAGACTATACCCCAAACACCAGGCAGCTTCCCACCGGCGTGTTTTGCTGGTGGCCCCAAAGAAAACTGGGCCCCCAATACCTGCTGAAGCATCGGTCAAATACCAACCATCAGTAAGGGGAGCGACTCAGACATGTTCTAAAGGCACGCCCCACCTCGGGCTCTTCAGCCACCTGCCTTTCCTCTCTCCCAGCACACTGACGTGTTACAAAACCCAGTGCGTCCAGAGAGGGTTGGGGGGCCCTGGGGCAGCATGGGGAGCCTCGATCTCACACTGAAAACACATCAGGTTGGGGGCTCTTTATTAACACTCTAGGGCGGGTGTGTTTTTAGGAAGGTGCCACTACAGGGTCCTAAGAAACTCCCTAATAGGATTATAATGTTTTGTATCTCAGGAATTCAGGTTGCATATAGTTCTTCTCAAAAAAAACTATCTTCGTGGGTTATAAACAACATGTAACAATGTATGCATTGTTTATCATTTGGGTTTGTTGGTATTACTAGGTTATCTTTTAAAGAAAAAATAATCTCTTCTAGTCTCCCCCAAACAGTTGCTAGACCCCTTCCAGCTTTGAAATCTTACCGTGGTTGGACCATCAGAACAGCTGCAACCACCCGTAGCTTTCTGGGCCACTTAGCAGTCATTCCCTGCACCACAGTGGGAAATGGGTCTGTGCAGAGCTCGAGCAGGAACGGGAAGAGGGAATGGCTCACAGATGTGTAAGGAGCCTTCTCGGAGGTGAAGCTCCCACGGAAAGTGGGGCAAGAGGGATGGGCCTGAAGGAGTGATGAGAAAGGGGCTAAAGGGGCCTCACTTGACGGGGGGCTGGCCTGGGGGCAGCACGGCACGGGCAGAGCCCAAGTCAGACCAGGCTCTGGTCTCGGGGGCCCTCACCTGCTCACTCTGAGGGTGTGTCATATCAGGGAGCTCTCTGTGTTCCCGAAACACGTCAGAGGTCTAGAGGGGCCCTGAGCACCCGGAAGAGGCAGCCTCTTGAAAACAAACCAGACTTGGAGACTCTTATCTTGGTAGCCATCTCCCTCCCCACCCCACCCCCCAACTTCACCACTTTCTCCTTTCCCTTTGCAGATATGTTTTAAGTCCTCATCCTGTGAGCTTCCTCAGGAATCCTGAGGGATTCCCTTTAAGATTTAGATCTGGGACATCTCTCTGTCTCCTGGAAGCCGCTTAAAGCTGAGAGGCATAGCTTGTCCCGTTTTGCCCCGGCTGCCAGGAAGCTCAAACCCAAGTGCTTTGCACTTGCAATAATTGTGGGAACCCTTCTGATCATTTACTAACTAATCGTTTACTAACTCATCCTTGTAAATGACCCCAAATCTGAGATTTGACAAAAGGAGGCATATAAATTAATTTAACCATGTTGTTAAGGAAAAGAAAATCCATCTGTCTTGCCTGCCCCACTGCCCCTCCCTCCCTTTGAATCCCACCTTGTGAATACCTTGCTCTACACAGACTTCACACGACTTTCCCAGACCCCTGCAGGCCTCTATTTCTGTTCACCTGCCAAAACTCATCCACGTGCTGTTGGCGTTCCCTTCCGGAGCCTCTCTCCGTGACCTTATCGATTACACACTGTGTACAGAGCCGGTTAGCAGGTATTTACTTGGGCCAGTAGCATGGCGGGTCACGATGGCTGGCCCCCAGGAACACAGGAGGCATAGCGCTGAGCCCTCCCGCAGCATGCCGGGTAATAGGCTGGTGCTGGGCGTGGCCAGAAGTACTGACCTAGTCTCCCAGGTCAGGTCACTTGTCTAGGGGTCATTCTCCCTCGTACCAGGCAAGTTCTCATACCTGCCACTGAGCAACTTAGAAACACCAGTGGAGGGCGCCTGGGTGGCTCATCCGTTAAGCATCTGCCTTCGGCTCGTGTCGTGATCCCAGGGTCCTGGGATCCAGCCCCGCGTCGGG